CTTGTGCCTGCCCGTCCTCACTTGCTTGCTTAGAGATGCCTTGTCCTGCATGTCTTGTACTCTTGCATCTCTTTATATTTGCTATATACCTGCATGTGGACTGGCCTTGTGGCCCCTTGCTTGCTCTCGGAGTGTGTGGTGACTTTGAGCTCCACCCTGAGATTTGTCTTGTTCTTGTAGACTGGTCTTGTGACCGTTGCTTGCTCTTGTTGTTTCTACAGGACTTCCGTTACCTAGACTATGGGGGTGTGTCAACATATATTTTATATGTGTTGTTTAGGTTAGTCTAGGTGTTACATTTCTACTTACTTGCATGATTAGGGTTTGCTATATCTAGGGTTGTACTTCACATTTTCTATCAATTCATTCTTATCGTACCACTTGTTGTCAGCGTACAAGGTCGGTGCAGAGCGAGGCCGCTCACCAAGGTCGGCGAGCAAGAAGGTCAACCAGCAAAGCTCCTGTGCCGCCATGGCACCAGCGTAGATCTCTGCCTCTGCACTGGACAAAGCCACAAACGACGACCGTATAGACCTCCACGACACAGCACCAGCACCCAGGCTGAAGAAGTAACCCTGAGTCGAACGATGAGTCTCCACGTCGTCAGCGTAGGAAGAGTCGCAGTGACCAGTCAACTCAACTGGCTGAGTCCCTCCAAGCACAAGCCCTATGCCTGATGTAGTCGCCAGGTACTTCGCCACCCTCACAGCAGCTGTCCAGTGAACAGGAAGGTGTCTCCTAGTCGCACCAAAGAAAGAGAGGACGCTGAGGGGAAAGGAGGAGTGCGGAGTGGCGCGCAAGCGGCCGGCGACGCAAGGAGTGCACGGTGGTGCAGGCGAGGGAGGGAGCAACGCAAAGACGCGAGGGAGACCCGAGACAAGACGGTGACTAGCCATACTGCGGAGGCGGGGGATCGACGAGTGGCCAAGACGGTGGTGCCACAAGACAGTCGGGTGGGCGAGAGACCGACATGAGCAAGACACAGCAACCTGACCAGACGCAACAACCTGACTAGACACAACAATCGGAGGGGACGCAGTAACTTGACCGGACTCTGCTACATGGGTGGATGTAGTAACCTGGCTGGACTCTGCTACCTGGTGGGACGCAGTGTGCAGAACGAAGAGACGTGAGTGGGGCTCCCTGGTGAACGTGGCAAGAATTTCCTCGGTGGAAGCATCCATACAGATCACCGTCCTCCCGTGCGCAGGAAAAGTGACTGTGATCCCACGGTCCTGAAGGTATCATACTGTCAAAATGTTGTATAGCTTATATTGTGTAGGCTATAGTGGGGTAGCCCATAAGGGGTACAACCCAATTAGGGTTAGTACTTGTACCCAACTCTTTGCTAGTTCATTCATTCTCGTTCATTATTCTGACATGGTTTCAGAGCAGGTCCTCCGCTAGGACCGTTTTTCCTTGGGCCCACCACAGCGCTACCCCGCTAGCCGCCCTCTGCAGCCTTCGAGCTGCCCCTACTGCCTGTCGCGACCGTCCGTCGCCCCTAGGCCTGTTGCTTCGGCCCGTCGCCCTAGGCCCGTCGCCCGTTGCCCCCGGCCTGTCGCCCGTCGCCACCTAGGCCCGTCGCCCGCGGCCCGTCGCCCCTAGGCCCCGCGGCCCGTCGCCCCTAGGCCTCGCGGCCCGTCGCCCTTAGGCCCCCCGAGCCCCTTCGCTCCTGGCCCCGCGGCCCTTCGTTCCTGGCCCCGCGGCCCGTCGCCCCTAGGCCCCCGGCCCCTCGGCCCGTTTCTCGTTGCCCCGCGGCCCGTCGCCCCTAGGCCCCGCGGCCCGTCGCCCCTAGGCCCCGCGGCCCATTGCCCTTAGGCCCCCCGAGGCCCGTCACTCCTGGCCCCGCGGCCCGTCGTTCCTGGCCCCGCGGCCCGTCTCCCCTAGGCCCCCGGCCCCTCGGCCCGTTGCTCTTAGCCCCGCGGCCCGTCGCCCCTGGGCCCCGCGGCCCGTCGCCCCTAGGCCCCCGGCCCCTCACTACTGGCCTTGCAGCCCGTCGCCCCTAGGCCCCGCGGCCCGTCGCCCTTAGGCCCCCCCCAGGCCCGTCGTTCCTGGCCCCGCGGCCCATCCCCCCTAGACCCTCGGACCCTCGGCCCTTCGTTCCTGGCCCCACGGCCTGTCGCCCCTACGACCCCGGCCCCTCGGCCCGTTGCTCCAGGCCCCACGGCCCGTCGCCCCTCGGCCCTTCGTTCCTGGCCCCGCGGCCCTTCCCCTCCCTAGGCCCGGCTCGTAGCCTGTCGCCCCTGGCCCCGCGGCCCATCGCCCCTATCCTAGGCCCGGCCCGTAGCCCGTCGCCCTTGGCCCCGCGGCCCGTCGCCCCTTACCTAGGCCTGGCCCGTCGCCCTTAGGCCCCGTGGCTCGACACCCCTAGGCCTCCGGCCCGTCACTCTCGGCCCCGCGGCCCCTCGCCCCTTTGGCCCCGTGGCCCGTCGCCCTTAGGCCCCCGACCTCGGCCCCTAGGCCCCGGCCCGTCGACCTCAGGCCCTGCACGCCGCTTCTTGCGTGCTGCTGCTACTGCTACTGCCCTGCTTGCTGCCCCCTCTCTGGTGCTCCTGCGTGCTGCTACTGCTACTGCTACTGCTGCCTGCTGCCCGCCCTGCTTCTCCCCGCTCTACGTGCTTTGCCGCTATGGCTTCGCTTCGAGTTCTCGCGTTCGATCATGAGGGCAGACCGATTCAGTTTGACACGTGGCTCGACGACCTGTAGCTGTACCTACTGAGCGATTCTAAGGACAGTGTTTCGTTGTTTGACCTCGCGTCAGGCGATGCTACCGCCCCTCCCGCCACAGCTGATAGTGCGACTCGCTCACAGTGGCTTACTCGCGACGCTGCTGCCCGCTTAGCCATTTGCAACCACCTGCCGTTAGCCGAATGCGCTCACTTCGGACAGCACAGGACAGCACAGGTACTGTACGACGCTGTAGTCGCCCGCTACTCCTCGCCTGCCACTGCTGCTCTAGGCCGCCTGCTTCTGCCCTACCTGCTACCCGAGCTGTCCGCCTTTGCCACGGTAGAGGACCTTGTTTCCCACCTCCGCACTAGCGACGCTCGCTACCGCGCTACCGGTCCTGTTGAGTTCCTTGACAGGAACCAGCCCCCGATGTTCATCACTCTCTACTTCATAGTCACCCGCCTCCCTGACTCTCTTCGCTCTGTCAGGGACCACTTTCTCTCACTTGACCCCACCTCCCTCACTGTTGACCTACTCGAGGAGCACCTCCTCGCAGCTGAGACTAGTGCAGTTGCTGTAGGTGCTGCTCGTGGCACTCCGCGCACGCCCTTCTTTGAGGGGTGCTCCCCCTCCCCCCTTGCCCCCTCCTACGCCTCTGCTGCTGCTGTAGACGTCCCTGGTGCTGAGGACGTCGGAGCTGCTTCTGCTAGTGCGAAGCGCCGCAGTGGCAAGGGCAAGGGTGGCAGGAGTGGTGGAGGGGGCAGCGGGAGTGGTGGTGGGGGCAGCAGTGGAGGTAGTGGAGGCAGTGGAGGTGGTGGCAGCGGTGGGAGTGGTGGCGGGAGTGGGGGCGTTGGTGGCGGCGGTGGAGGCAGCGGTGGGAGTGGCGGTAGTGGCAGCGGTGGCAGTGGTGGCGGTAGGACTGGAGCTCAACGTGGAGGTTTTGGAGGAGGCCAGCGGCAGCGGCAGCAGCGTCGGAGCGAGACCCCGTCGCCCCAGCAGCTTCGTGAGTGGTTTGCTCAACGTGGGGTGTCTGGGGGTAGTGTGAGCTGCCCGTATGTCATTCGCACACGTGACCGTGCTGGTCAGACATGCGGGAAGCCTCACATTCAGCACCGCTGCTTCTCCCGCCTCGACGACGCTTGGCGTGCTGAGTTTGGTGATGAGGTCGAGCGCCCCCACTGGGCAGAGCTGCTTAGGTCTGGTGTTGCGATCTTTGACCTAGACTATGATGCTATTATTTCTGCTATGTATGCTTTGTCCGCTAGTGCTGAGGGTGACTGTTACCGGTGTGTGCCGCCTGACCCAGGTATAGAGGCTGCTGCTCTAGGTGCTAGTGAGTCTTCTCTCCCTGGTACTGCGCCTGCTTAGGCCTTGCACACTTTCACGCTAGACTCAGGTGCCTCACGCTGTTTCTTTCGTGACAGCACCACCCTCACTCCTCTCCCTGCACCCGTCCCGGTCAGACTGGCTGACCCCTCTGGGGGCCCGGTCGTTGCCCGTTCCTCCACTGTTCTCCCGTGTTTGGCGGTTCCGTCCGGCTCACTCTCAGGTCTTCACCTCCCCTCGTTCTCTACGAACTTGGTGAGTACCGCGGCCCTCCAGGATTCGATGGTCACTACCACCACTCCTGGGGGTCAGCGTGTGTCGATCTGCACGTGTACACGGACGGGTTGTAACCTTGCCACGTTCACACGTCGGCCATGGTCGAGTCTGTACACACTGGCTACCGAGCCTCCTCAGGTAGCTGCGTCTGCCCAGGTGTCCGCGTCAGGTCCGGTAGCACCCCCCTGCTCGTGTCGCCTCCTGTCGCACCAGACTCTCCTGTGGCACCACCGACTTGGTCACCCCTCCCTGCCACACCTTCGTGGCATGCACTCCCACCTCCTTGTCTCTGGTCTTCCCAGGTCTCTGCCTCCCCTCCCGCCTTCGCCTGCCCCGCCCTGCCTTCCTTGCGTCGAGAGGCGGCAGCGCGCCGCTCCTCACTCCTCCTCGTTTCCCCCGATGACTGCTGTTAGAATACTAAGTTAACTAGGAACCGGGGTTTACTAAGGGCCTAGGCTTAGTAGCCTAGGCCAAGCGGGTGTCGAGGTGGTTGTCACCAAGGAGAATTGAAGAATGTTTTTGTTGTTCACTATAGCACACAAGGTGCATATAGCAAACTAGCAAAGGTGCACCACCAACAAGGAAACATAACTACACTAGAGCTAAAGCTACAGGCAGTTATAAACATATATAAATATATATCGCGACACACCCCCTTAACTGCCTGCAGCACATAGCTAGAGTAAGTCACACCCCCTAAAGGGGTATTGCAGGCGTTGTGAAAGATGGTAAAGAGGTAAGTGAGGAGGAGGAGGCGAGAGAGAGACAGGGGAAGAGAGGAGATAAGAACAAAGGAAGAGGTGAGTGAGGGATGAGGAGAGGAGGTGGGGGGGTGGCCGCGGCGTCCCCTCTTACTAACCCCCTTTTACACAGGGGGGGTTGAGTGGGGGATGAGGAGTGGAGGTGGGGGGGTGGCCGCAGCGTCCCCTCTTACTCACCCCCACATCCCCACCCCCAATCAACCAACCCCCTGTAACCTCACCCCCCATTTCAACCGCCCCCTGGAACCGCACTCCCTCCCCCCTTTTCTTCCTCCAGACCCCTCCCCACCCACGATGGTCCCTGTCCAATTCTTCACAGGTGGGGCTGCTGGTCACAGGTGGGGCTGCTGGTCACAGGTGGGGCTGCTGGTCACAGGTGGGGCTGCTGGTCACAGGTGGGGCTGCTGGTCACAGGTGGGGCTGCTGGTCACAGGTGGGGCTGCTGGTCACAGGTGGGGCTGCTGGTCACAGGTGGGGCTGCTGGTCACAGGTGTGGCTCCTGGTCACGGGTGGGGCTGCTGGTCACAGGTGGGGCTGCTGGTCACAGGTGGGGCTGCTGGTCACAGGTGGGGCTGCTGGTCACAGGTGGGGCTGCTGGTCACAGGTGGGGCTGCTGGTCACAGGTGTGGCTACTGGTCACGGGTGGGGCTGCTGGTCACAGGTGGGGCTGCTGGTCACAGGTGGGGCTGCTGGTCACAGGTGGGGCTGCTGGTCACGGGTGGGGCTGCTGGTCACAGGTGGGGCTGCTGGTCACAGGTGGGGCTACTGGTCACGGGTGGGGCTGCTGGTCACAGGTGGGGCTGCTGGTCACAGGTGGGGCTGCTGGTCACAGGTGGGGCTGCTGGTCACAGGTGGGGCTGCTGGTCACAGGTGGGGCTACTAGTCACAGGTGGGGCTGCTGGTCACAGGTGGGGCTGCTGGTCACAGGTGGGGCTACTGGTCACAGGTGGGGCTGCTGGTCACAGGTGGGGCTACTGGTCACGGGTGGGGTGGCTGGTCACAGGTGCCTGGTGCCTGGTGCTGGCGGCTGGCGCCGGTGTTGGTGCTGGTGCCTGGTGCTGGCGGCTGGCGCTGGTGCTGGTGCTGGTGCTGGCGCTGGTGCCTGGTGCTGGCGGCTGGCGCTGGTGCCTGGTGCTGGCGGCTGGCGCTGGTGCTGGTGCCTGGTGCTGGCGGCTGGCGCTGGTGCTGGTGCCTGGTGCTGGCGGCTGGCGCTGGCGCTGGTGCCTGGTGCTGGCGGCTGGCGCTGGTGCTGGTGCCTGGTGCTGGCGGCTGGCGCTGGTGCGTGGTGCTGGCGGCTGGCACTGGTGCTGGTGCCTGACGGCTGGCGCTGGTCCTGGTGGCTGGTGCTGGCGTAACGGCGCTGGTGCCGGTACTGGTGCTGGTGACAGGCTTCGGTGCTGGTGCTGGTTCCTAGTGCTGGTGGCTGGCGGTGGTGCTGGTGCCTGGTGCTGGCGCTGGTGCCTGGTGCTGGCGGCTGGCGCTGGTGCTGGTGACTGGTGCTGGCGGCTGGCGCTGGTGCTGGTGCCTGGTGCTGGCGGCTGGCGCTGGTGCTGGTGCCTGGTGCTGGTGCCTGGTGCTGGCGGCTGGCGCTGGTGCTGGTGCCTGGTGCTGGCGGCTGGCGCCGGTGCTGGTGCTGGTGCCTGGTGCTTGCGGCTGGCGCCGGTGCTGGTGCCTGGTGCTGGTGCTGGTGTTCCGCCACCACTCCCTTCCCCCTTTTCCTCTCTCTCCCACAGCATTCCGCCGCCACTCCCTTCCCCCTTTCCCTCTCCCCCCACAGCGTTCCACCGCCAATCCCTTCCCCTCCTCCCTCTCCCACCCACAGCGACCGCCGCTGCACATTCGAACAGTCGCGACGGGGGGGGGTGACGGGCAGGGGGGGTGGGGGAATGCGACGGGTGGAGCGAGGCGACGGGAGGGAAGAAAGCGGGACGGGGGGGGGGGAGGGCCGCGACGACCGCCACGGACGCCGTCCCCTTCATTCCCGATTCTCCGCGGTGCTGTACGGTTCTGGGCGGGGTAAAGTAGCTGGTGGGGCGGCTGACTTCAGGGTGAGGTGACTGGAACGGGTGGTACAGCGGGCACCGGGTGGGTCAGCGGGGACGGGTGAGACGGTAGCGCAGCTGACGAGCTGCGCGTGCGAGCGGCTATTGCTGCGCGTGCGTGCAGCTATGGCCGCGCGTGCGTGCTGCTAATGCCGCGCGTGCGTGCGGCTAATGCTGCACGTGCATGCGGCTAATGATGCGCGTGCGCGCGGTCGCATGTGCGGCTACGATTGCACGTGCGCATGCGTCTGCTGCGCGCTAGTGGGCTGGCGAGCTACGCACGGGGCAGAGAACGGGTGAAGCGCGGGTGAGAAAACTGGTGATGCACGGGGCAAAACGGGTGACGCGAGCGGGGCAAACGGGCACTACGGACTAGATCGGGGCACGGGGCGGTGGGCCCATAGGACGGTCTAGCTCTATACCATGTTAGAATACTAAGTTAACTAGGAACCGGGGTTTACTAAGGGCCTAGGCTTAGTAGCCTAGGCCAAGCGGGTGTCGAGGTGGTTGTCACCAAGGAGAATTGAAGAATGTTTTTGTTGTTCACTATAGCACACAAGGTACATATAGCAAACTAGCAAAGGTGCACCACCAACAAGGAAACATAACTACACTAGAGCTAAAGCTACAGGCAGTTATAAACATATATAAATATATATCGCGACAACTGCTCCCTTGCAGACTCTCCACATGGACGTGTGGAGCCCAGCCCGCGTCAGTGGACAGGGCCACGAGCGCTATTTTCTGCTGGTCGTTGACGACTACACGCGGTACACCACCGTCTTCCCCTTGCGCAGCAAGGGTCAGGTCGTTGATGTCTTGATCCCTTGGATCCGTGCAGTACGTCTCCAGCTCCGCGAGCGGTTCCGCCAGGACCTTCCTGTTCTGCGTCTGCCCTTTGACAGAGGTGGTGAGTTCTCCTCTGACCTCTTGCAGGAATTTTGTCGTGGGGAGGGCATCCTCCAGTCGTTCACGCTTCCGGCCTCCCCGCAGCAAAATGGGATTGCTGAGCGCCGCATTGGCTTAGTCATGGAGGTCGCTCGTACCTCCATGATCCATGCGGCTGCTCCCCATTTTCTGTGGCCGTTTGCGGTCCGGTACGCTGCGCATCAGCTCAACCTCTGGCCCCGTGTCTTCTTGCCGAAGACCTCGCCTACACTGCGTTGGACGGGGCAGGTTGGCGATGCGTCAGTGTTCCGGGTCTGGGGCTCTCGTGCCTTTGTTCGCGATACGTCCGCGGACAAGCTCTCCGCCAGTGCTATCCCCTGCGTCTTCCTTGGCTTTCCTCCTGACGCGCCTGGCTGGCAGTTTTACCACCCCACCTCGTGCCGTGTCTTTTCCTCTCAGGACGTCACATTTGACGAGTCGGTTCCCTTTTACCGTCTCTTCTCTACCGCTCTGCCCTTCCCCCGCCCCCGCCGCTCTTCCTTGCTCCTGGTCCCCCTCCGGTAGACCCCCTCCCGCCCCAGGGTCCTGCTCCCTTAGGTGTGTCTCAGGTAGACCCTCTCCCTGGTACTGTGCGTGTTGAGGTAGCTGGCGACTCAGGTGCTGCTCAAGGTACAGCGTCTGGGGGTGCTGAGTCTGGGGGTGCGGAGCCTGGGGGCGCTGAGTCTGAGGGTGTTGGGTCTGGGGGTGCTGAGCCTGGGGGTGCGGAGCCTGGGGGTGCTGAGCCTGCGGGTGTGGAGCCTGGGGGTGCTGAGCCTGAGGGTGTTGAGAGTGGGGGTGCGGAGTCTGAGGGTGCGGAGTCTGGGGGTGCTGAGCCTAGGGGTGCTACTTCGTCTGGAGGTCCTGTTGGTGCTTCGCCGTGGCTGTCTCCATGACCGGAGCCTCTCTCCCCGCAGCAGCTGCGTGAGTGGCTTGTTCCGCGCGCACGCCTTTGGAGTGGAGCTGCCGGAGCTGGAGACACTGGAGCTGGAGGTGCTGGTGTTATTGCTGGAGCTGTTGGTACTGGAGGTACTGCGGCTGCTGGTTCTCGAGGTGCTCGTACCAGGGGTACTGGAGCTGCCGGGACTGGTGGTGTTGGGGGTGCTGGAGTTGGAGACCCTACTTAGCCTGGAGCTGATGGAGCTGGGGGCACTGGCGCTGGTGGTGCTGGAGCTGGAGGAGCTGGAGCTAGAGGCACTGGCGCGGGAGGCGCTGGAGCTGGAGGAGCTGGAGCTGTTGACCCTGGAGCTGGAGGTGCTAGTGGTACTGGTGCTGGAGGCACTGTGCGGCCGCGACTGTACTTCGTTCCCCTGCTTCAGCAGGTTCTTGGTGTCCCGTCTTCTACTAGTCTTACTCCTCCCTTACTGTGTCCACTGCCTGGCCAGTCGCAGCCGCTGTTACAGCCAGCCTCCCCACTGCCTGCTCCTTCTCCTTACACTGAGTAGTCCGGCGGTCTTACAGAGCGTCGTGAGCCTCCGCGCGCTGCTCTGCAGGGGCGCGTGCTGCTCTGCAGGGTGGCGCGTGTTGATCTGCAGGGGCGCGCGCTGCTCTGCAGGGGCGCACGCTGCTTTGCAGGGTTGCGTGCGCTTCTCTGCAGGGTAGCGCGGGCTGCTCTGCAAGGGTGCGCGCTGCTCTGCAGGGGCGCGTGATGCTCTGCAGGGGCGCGCGCTTCTCTGCAGGGTGGCGCGGGCTGCTCTGCAGGGGCGTGCAATGCTCTGCAGGGGCGTGCGCTTCTCTGCAGGGTGGCGCGGGCTGCTCTGCAAGGGCATGCGATGCCCTGCAGGGGTGTGCGCTTCTCTGCAGGGTGGCGCGGGCTGCTCTGCAGGGGCGCGCGATGCTCTGCAGGGGCGCACGGGCGACGCGCGGGCTAGGGGCTAGGCGCGTGGGCTACGCGCGGGCTAGGGGCTAGGCGCACGGGCAACGCGCGGGCTAGGGGCAGGGCGCACGGGCGACGCGCAGGCTAGGGGCAGAGCGTGCGCTAGGCGAGAGCATGGGGCGTAGGCGCGGGCTTAGTGCGTAAAAACGGGCTAGGAGGGTGGAGGGGGAAACGAGGGCGTGAGGCTCCACGACGGAGCGGACGGAGCGAGCTAGGTGAGGCTAGGCTAGGCTAAGGAATGAACCTCATGATACCTCTCAAGAAGTACGCACAACGGAATGGTAGGAATAGAAACGGATGGGATACAAATATGCAACCCTAACAACTGTACCCCCTAGAAGGCACCTCACTATAGCCTACAATAGTTATTATACTTTGATACTCCTAACTAAGTTCTTGTTTTAACAAACATCAACAACAACACCAAACACCAACACCAATATCAACACCAATACCAACACCAACACCAACACCAACACCAACACCAACACCAACACCAACACCAACACAAACACCAACACCAAGCACCAACACCACTACCAACACCAACAACGACAACAATACCAACACCAACACAACACCAACACCAAAACCAACAACAACAAAGACAACAACAACAAGGCAGAGTATTAAGTTATTACACAAATAAATCAACTAGGACACTGGAATCGTCTGTCAACCAACTATCATGTCGTTCTTGTTACAAAAGCCCGCAATACGCCGACATGGATGTACCCTTTCATGATTGCATGGCTAGCAATGACTCTTTGTATGTCGTTGTAAACAAACCGGATGTGTCTTGGTTTATATCAGTACTGCAAGTCTACTTTCACTCTAACAGAGTTACGACAAAAAAATAAGATTACGTTACTGTGTGTATTGCGAAATTTTGAAACCCTATACCATAATATCTTGTGTAAACATGAGACAGTGGGTGGGAATATGCGTATGGAGGGAATTTCTTGAGTTATCTCCACTACAGTCAATGCACAGTCCAAACCATCGACACTTTATTTCATGGACGAATTACATCCCATACTTTCAATATCCTAACAAAAACAATGACAATGCGCCTCTCATGCACGTTATTTACGAACACCATCTGCCTCGTCAACCTCGATCAACAGCATTTGATGAGAAACATAGATGTTGGACCAAACTGCAACCATTGGAAATGACCATTGTACATGCGAAACAAAAAAACTGAAAAGGGGTTCATGCTTAGCTTCCTGATGGAGATGCGTACCCTGCCACACCCCATCGCACCTGCTATCGCACCCTGTCACGCCCCGTCGCATCTGCATCGGCACCCACACCTGCTATTGCGCCCGTGCTAGTTGACGCCGTGTCTGCCGCATCCGCCACGCGCGCTGCCGTGGCTGTTGTTGTGGGGGGAGGAGGCGAGGGTGGCGGCCGTGGCGGATGAAGGGCTCCCAACGATGGACTGCTGCCGTCTGCCGCACTTGCCACGCCCGCCAAGCGCCCTGCCGCGGCCCCCGTTGTTGTGGGGAGGCTGCGGGGGTGGCGGACGTGAGCCTGCAGCATCAGCTGCTGCCTAACCTGCCGTTTCTGCACCTACTGCCACTCCAACTTCTTTTGTTGCACCTCCATTTGTTCTTCGTGCTCCTCCTTCTCACTGGTGTTTCTCATTGCACGTGTTTCTTCTTGCTGGTTCTCTTGCCTGCCTCGCACATGCCGTGCGCCTGCTGCTGCTCGTTAGTCGTTGCACGTGAGTTGCTACTCCGCAGTCGTTGGGCACCAGCAGTCACACCTTTTGCACTCGGGCAGTGTCCCCTTCATGGGGTGTTCTTGCACAAGTTCTTGCTACAAGCGTACATCATAAACCGCCTACATCATAAACTAGTGTTATCATTTTTCGTCAAAATTGTTGGTGTTACATTACTATGCCTTAGCATTTGCTTGTATTTCTCGGGCCCTTGCCCCTCTATTCAACCTCTTTCTGTGCCGTAGCTTCCTAAGTTCGCTACGTATTGTCAGCCATGCCTCTGGAGGATTGTTGTGTG